TCTGTTAATGGGTCATAAATTGAGAGATTCAATAACAATGACGCCACCTCTTACTATGGAACCCCTGATGGAGCGAGTGCACCAACACATCTTGGTAGAGGAAGATGGGATGCACACCAAGGTAGAGTTCGATACAAACAGTGATATCGGACAGAACACCTTTGGCAAAAGTTAGCACGGTTGGAAGGAAAGACTAACCAAGCGCAACAAGTCTTTGCCCGACTTGGGGGCCAATCAAGAAGTTTGGCAGGAATAACCAAACACTTTACTCTAGGTTGGCCGGAATAACCAAACACTTTACTCTAGGTTGGCCGGAATAACCAACTTAGAGGTTGGTTGGAAAAACCAACACCTCTCCTAAGCCTAGGATAAGGATCCAGGCTGTAGGACGTTTGGTCGAAATAACCAAACACTTTACTCTAGGTTGGCCGGAATAACTAACTTAGAGGTTGGCTGGAAAAACCAACACCCCTCCTAAGCCTAGGATAAGGATCCAGGCTCCAGGACGTTTGGTCGGAATAACCAAACACTTTAATCTAGGTTGGCCGGAATAACCAACTTAGAGGTTGGCTGAAAAAACCAACACCCCTCCTAAGCCCAGGATAAGGATCCAGGCTGCAGGACGTTTTGTCGGAATAACCAAACACTTTGCTCTAGATTGGCCGGAATAACCAACTTAGAGGTTGGCTGGAAAAACCAACACTTCTCCTAAGCCCAGGATAAGGATCCAAGCTACAGGACGTTTGGCAGGAATAACCAAACACTTCACTCAGAGTTGGCCGGAATAACCAACACTGAGTTCTCTTCAGCCAAGATAATGATCTGAACTGAAGAGATTGGTTGGAAAAACCAACACTTACTTCTCCTAAGCTGAGATAAAGATCTAGGATGTAGGAAGTTGGCAGGTATGTCCAACTCTTTGGCCGGGATGATGGTTACCTTGGCCAAAGTAGGTTGGCAGGTTTGACTAACAAATTTTTAGAACTCTTTGACCGGGATGATGGTTACCTCGGCCAAAACAGGTTGGCAAGGTTCGTATAAACCGAGTTAGTCTGTTCAGCAAGACACCAAAAGAACGACTCAATGTATACAAACTTGAAGGATATATACGTTAAAGGCAAAAAATCAGGGCTATTCAAATTTTTGGCATGACGATGGTAACAAGGAGAACATGGATATTGGGTGCACGCCATGTATTCTGGGAATAACGTCTTACCATATTAGTAGAAGGACATGCTAAGCAACTGACAAGGCTTATTGGGACCGAACAAGCCGTGAAACCGAACAACTTCTTAGCTCGGCTGGAGGAAAAATAATCCCAATCATGCTACGCAGATGGAATTAAGGGGCAATTGAGAGGGTAATTTGTAAACAAATTGGGCCGAGCTAGGAAGAGTTTTCTTTGGGAGTTGGACCGCGTAATGGGCCGAGATAAGAGTTGGTGTAGCTCGGTCTTAGGCCAAGAAAGACATCTCATATTTTGGGTTTGGGCCGAACTATGAACCGAGGTATCGGTAGAAAGAGGACCGAGCTAAAACGATAGCTCTACAGGGCGTCATCTCGAAGTCAAGATTGATAATAGTGCTTAAAGTATCACAGAGCCGAAGTAACTTGGCTGACCGTAATGTTAGCCGAGGTAAAGATGTCAGCCGAAATAAGTGGGCCTGGTGATTAGCCGAGGTATTGATGAGAAAGGATGTCGGGCTTGGTATAGCTCAGCTAGTCTTGGTATAACTTGGCCGGGCACCATCTATATCATTACTTAAGCGTGTGACCGAGGTAACTGAGCTCGGTGTGGTTGCAGCAGCTTATTAAAAGGAGGTAGCATCAATGGCGAAGGCCGAGCTGTGTATAGCTCGGTAGGGTGGCAACCGTTAGATCGGCTTTCGATCACACGGTTCGAAGGGCAAGGGACCGAGATAAATCAGTTCGGGCAAGAATCTATAACTGAGGTAAAAGGTTCAGCCATCTCACTTGGCTTGCAGTGATGAAACTCCTAGTAGGACTCTGCTAAGGAGAGTTAGAGTCCTACTGGGATTGTGTAAACCATCTCACTTGGTTGGTAGTGAGTAGGAGTATGACTCCTAGGAGGACTAAGGAGAGTATAGTCCTACTAGGATTGTGCAAAACCATCTCACTTGGTTGGTAGTGAGTAGGGTGTGTGATTCTTGGGAGGACTCTCATAGGGAGAGTTAGAATCCTACTAGGATTGTGCCAAAATAAAGTCTATAAAAACTCATGACCAGACCTTTGTACAGGTATCCCAATTTTTACTCTAGAATACACAGAGCTTATTGTCTATTGTCTAGTTGCTGACTTAGGCATCGGAGGGGTTTCCGACACACACCCGCCGGTTAGCTCACGTTTGGAGGAGTGCAAACTTGATCAATAAGATCATACGGGAAGAATTATTTCGTGCTCGTACACTATCAAAAAAAAGATTTTCTTATACCGAATACTTTAGAGACAGAGACATTATTGAATGGCACATTAAATTATCAAAATGAAAAGGGTTTTGTTACACTGCAATTAATTTTATCTTAAATGGAACTGCCATTAATAATTAATGTAAAACTTTATTAACTCTTGCCTGCATAACTGTTATGTTTTTTTATTTGTTTTTTCAACAAAGGCGCTCCATGTCCTTAAAAATGTAAAGCATAGCTCATATAGAATATGAAATTCTTAAACCTGTCATTTCAAAACCTCCCAAACAAGTTAAAGGCCTCTTGAGATTGGTACCATGGGTTTGGTGATAATATTAATTTAAAACATCTTAGATCATCTCTAACCCTCAATTAAATCTGGCATCAAATTTAAAATTTGGTAAAAAAAACACTTTTTCATTCTCCAATGGTTTCACCAAATTGATATCAAATCGAGATTTCACCAAACGTTTCACCAAAATGAAGACAGGCTTTGCATTTCATCAAAACACTGTGCATGATCGTTAGGGAGACCAACCGGTCGACCAGCCGGTTGACCGGTCAGTTAACCAATCGGTCGACCACCAAAAGGTTCAAACAGTTCAAAAAAAAAGTCAAAACAATTGAAAAAAAAATTTTTTTTTTTGCCTTACCGGTCGATCAGCTGGTTGATCGGCCGGTCGACCACTAAAACGTTCAAAAAGCTAAAAAAAAATAATTTTTTTTTGGTTTAACCGGTCGACCGGCCGGTCGACCAACCGGTTATCCCAACATAGATTTGATGAAAATTTGATGAAAATCAACCGTTGGAGCACTCAGTATCAGATTGGGGAAAAAGTCATTTTTTTTACTCAGATTTGATGAAAACTTTGATTCAGGGTTGGAGATGCTTTTAAGATGGTTGCTTTGGTTTTGGTGATAATATTACAACTATTATGTTGCAAGCAAACACCTTAATTCGAAATCTTATCTATTTAAGAAATTAAAAATCTACAAAATAAAATATTTTTATAAAATAATGTATTATACAGTATTAATTGTACAAATCATTCGTACAAAAAAACCTTCTATATATAGACCAAGTACACCACATTTCAAGTTTAATCATGTAAGTTCCTTTCAAATTACTTAAATTAATTAGTTGCGAGCTTAAAAGTCTCATAAAAGTTCCTTCTCCAATTCACGATTTGAGCAATTGGAAAACATTCCTAACGGTCTACATGGTTGCTGTTACCATATTGATACTAATTCAGTTGGAGATTGTGATTTAAAATTTGAGTTTTAAAGTGGTGTTGATGATTTTAAAGTCAATTATACATGCCATGATATCACAACTTAGAAAGTGGGAGAATATCAAAAACGTTGAGGGTAGAAAAAAATTTCAAAATGATAATAGTACAATTTATGCATGAAGTGTTTTTACTTTCATCATTTTAAAATTATTCTTCCTACCTTCTACTTTTTTGAAATTCTCCCTTAAAATAATGGTAGCCTATCGATCAATATGTATATAATTGCTTAAAGGTTAAATAAAACATATTTATACATTCACAAATTAAATTGATTTTTCAACTCTACTTCTTTATAAATGTAGTTCAGAATTTATTTTTAGTGGCCAAAATTTATCATATTAAAAAAAATAAAATTTTGTCATTGGAAAATTTAAGAAGAGGTGAAAAAAACCGATTTTTAAGAGTATCTCTAATTCTTTACATTTTCTTAATATTCAAAAATAATCTCTAAACTTTTTATCAATTGTTCATAAAATCAAGAGAGAGTCATTCTTTTTTTCCATCAAATTGAGAAGTTATCAAATTTTTTATCAAATTTAAATTTGATGAAAATTTAAAAAAATGAAGGATTGAAGATGAATTTTTTAATTAAATTTGATGAAAAGTAAAGTTTGAGATGCGAAGGTAATTTTTTTTTAAAAAAAATTTAAAAAATTTGATAAAAAAGATTAAATTAATTCATATTAAATTAATTTTTTTTACTTAAATTTAAAATTAAATTGAATAAAGGGTAAATTACACTTACATCCATGAGATTTAGATTTAATACATATCACTCATTGACGTTTGGAAAATTACACTAACCCCTGTCATTGTAATTATTTAGACGAAATGAAGACATTGAGTTAATGTGTCCTCTTTTTTCTTACTTTGCTTTGTTTGTTCTATTTTTTTTTTCCTTTCATTTATTTTACTTTTTTTTTTCAATATAATTTTTTTTATTTTTTTACTAAGAGTTGTTATATTTTATATAAGTAAAAATTTGTAAAATAAGACTATTAATCATAAGAGTGAAAAAATAATTTTTAAAACTTTAAAAAATAAAATATAATTAAATCAAACTTTAGGAATGTCAGTGTAATTTACCATTAAACAAAAAATTTGGTAAACCAAACACAAAGACCCGGTATCTGTGAGTCCGAAGTCGGAAGACTCCGAACCGTATAAATCTGAATTGTTTCAATTACCATCTCACATCACAGCTTCGCCTCTCTCTCTCTCTGAAGACTTCTTCTCTCCTCTGCCCTTCTTCGCTTCATCAAAACACTGTGCATGATCGTTACCCAAAATCAGCACACAATTCCAAACACTATTCCTCGAAACTTGACCTCTAATTTCTCTCCTAAATTCCTCCCCATTCATCTTCATGACGAATTCGACTCTGCGTTTTTCCTAAAAGGGGTTTGTCCTTTTTCTATTCTCTACACTCTCTTATCCAACCTGTTAGTAGAATTTAATTCTTATTTTTTTTTCCTTTTTCTTTTTAACTTGTGTCTCTTCAATTGTGGAATTAGGGTTTTGAGTTTTGACTATGATAGACCATTAATTAGTAGTACTATCGTATGTTATTTGAGGCTTGTTTTGTCTGCTTTTATGATGCTCAGTTTGGTTGTTGAGAAAGTAAAGGAAACAAATTTAAGAAAAAAGTTGGAACCTTCTTGTATTTGTTGTTTGGGTTGAGTTCTTGATGCTTTCTTTGTTGATGATGGTTAAGTTAGTGAGTTGCGTTTGATTTGTGGAATGTAATACGTTGATTCATGATTGCTAAAGATTCAAGAAACTAGATTAACTGAGTTGTAGAGTAGATGCATTGACTGATGAATTAGGTCTTGTATGATTGACGGACTAATCTGCAGTGGCTTCGTGCAGACCTGAATGAGAGTGTGTTTAGTATGTTTCTTATACAGGTCTGTTTGTGATCATGGACAAATTACTAGTAAAGGACATTGGATGAATAACAGTGGTTTTAGGTTTGTAGTCCTCCCTATACAGATATTGAGAGGAAGACGTTGTCAAGCTTCTAAATTTACTTGATTGTCCATATATACTTAACCTGAAAATTGGTAACCACTGTAGGACCCTGGGTTTTTTTTATGCACTTAATCGCGAGTGCTTTCCTTTTGATTCTTCTTTTTCATACAAAGCTCTTTTCTGTTCCCACCATATTCCTAATTGTTTGTCTTCTATAGAGTCAAGGATAAATATTTTCTTTTAAATGGCAAGATTTTGTGCTTCAAATTTGGTTTACAACTGAATTTTTGCAATGGTGGAATCATTTCAAGAAAGTTTTATTTTATGCTCCTCTCTTTTTTTTTTTTTTTTTTTTTTTTGAATAATAATAATTATAGTTTGTTTGATCTATTGTCTTTCGTGCTTGTTTGAACTTTGATATGGTCTGAACAAATCCTTGTTCATTTGATATCATCTTTGTTCATTATGGCCATCCCAATTTACCTTGATTTCGCAAATAATATCTGTCAATTTTATGTTTTTAGTTCACCTAGGGTGCTTCTGAGATTTGATTGTGTAGGCTTTTTGGTAAAAGAGTAATGTTGCTAGGCCGGAAGATGGGCCAAAACCAATCTATGTGGTCGGTCATGATCAGTTTTTGAGCAAGGCCCACAAAACCAAGGACCAATCATGAATGACCACATGGTTGGTTTCGGTTCATCTCTCAATTTGAAAATCTTTTTCCTTTGGCAAATGTTCACATTTTTCTGTGGAATTCTTATTGATTGGAAGGAAATGCCAAAAGACTCTAGATTTCAGTTAAACTTTTTGTGTGTGTGTGTGTGAGAGAGAAAGAGAGAGAGAGAGAGAGAGAGAGAGAGAGAGAGAGAGAGAGATTATATTCATTTGTTTGTGCTGTGAAGTACAATACATATTTTGCTTATGAAAGGCAACTTATTTGGTTATGTTTGATATGATAGGCAACTGAATTGGCATCATACATTTGATATTCTGTGTTTTTGTGTTATCTTACAAGGTTGTCAATCCATCTTGATTTTGTTCTGTACCTTTTCTTGTAAAGGTTGCTTTTTGTTCAAAAGTCTGCCTCGTGTTCTATTAGGTGGGCAGGCTTTTGTCACAAACAATGGGCAGTGCATTTAATCCACAGATCCTGGTGGAAAAGCTGTCCAAGCTCAACAATACACAGCAGAGCATTGAGAGTATCCTCTTATCTATATGATTTTTTTCCCTTGATTTGGCCTGTTTTATCTTTTGTTCATGACACTTAGGCTCCGTTTGGGAAGAGCTATTTGGGGCTTTTTTGGCTATTTTAGCCACAAAAGACAAAATAGGTTATTTTAGCCACAAAAAACAAAACATCACTTCCAACCCATAATCATTACACTCTTCTCTCACAAAAAAAGTCAAAAAAGCCAAAAAGCCTTTCCCAAACCAAGCTTTTTAGCTCAGACTAAAATAGCCAAAAAAGCCAAAAAGTCAAAAAGCCAACCCACTTCCCAAACGACACCTTATTCGCTAATTTCACTTCTATAGAGCAGATCATTTTCTGTTTCTAGAGTTGAATTGGCAATGACAATGGAGTTTCTCATTTTGTTTCATTGCTTTTAAATGGAGGTTCTGCTTTGTCATTGAATTCTCCCCAGGTCTTATACCAAAAGTATCACTATAGGTTTATGTTCTCTACTTTGAAGGTGCACCTAACTCTTTGTTTTGTTTTTGTTTTTGTTTTTGTTTTTAACATCAAATTTTAGTTGTTTGTGATTTTTCAAATTGATGAAATTTTCCTGTAGTTTCATTAGAATTTGTTGCTATTTGTAGATATTTTATACTATTTGATGCTTTTAAAACCTTTTATTTTGGTAGTCCGGAACAGCACATGGAGTGTATGATCTCGTTGTTTCATCCTGTGCACTTTCCCGAGTTACCAATTTGTTCTGTACTTTTATGCATGAAATTCACCTTTACATGTTGGGTCTGTCCCCTAAGTATTTCATCCATTATTTTCATATTCGTTACAATTTTATTCTTCAATATCAGTGCATGCTCTTGAGGTGCTATCCTTAATGCAATTAAGCTTTATCGCATTGGTGTATTTTTCATATGAACAAGGCAAAACAAGTTGTTGAAACATGGGATAGACAATTCCATTGCTCCCCACGGGAGCAGCGATTGGCTTTTCTATATCTTGCGAATGATATTCTGCAGATTAGTAGGCGGAAGGGGTCAGAGTTTGTTGGTGAGTTTTGGAAGGTTCTTCCAGAAGCCCTTCGTGAGGTAATTGAGAATGGGGATGAGTTCGGAAGAAATGCTGCACTACGGCTGGTATTTTCGTCTAGCTCACCATGCTTCTTGTTTTAGCATTTGCATTTTTTTTGTTTTGTTTTAATTATATATGTTGTTAAAGGACATGAAAGTTCACTTGAACTTTCAAATACATTGGACTTTTTATGTACAAAAGTTTACCGTGGTGAAATGTAAGTAACCATTTGGCAAGCTGGAGCATCAAGTTTAAAATTAGAAATTCAGTTTTATTGTAAACTGGACACATCAATTTATGTTCCCTTGAAATTTCAAGGGTTTTGAGAACAGAACTTTGTGAAATGGTCAAGACTGCTGTTCAGAAAATATGGTTCCAACAACAGTAGCCCTTCGTTAAAAATTCACTAAAAATAAGTTTGAAATGTCACCCTATTTATGTGAAATGAGTGCCATTATAAATGAGAAATTGGCATGCCTTTCATTTATGCTTAGTTTACATATACGAGTCTAGTGAGTTAGACCTTGACCTGTCCACCCATTTTACACTGGTTACTACTAGATAGTTATCACTCATCACATTAGAAACAATCTTTGTTAATTTTGGTTTGTGTTCATGTGCACCTTGTTCAAATAGTTTTCTACCTTCCTTATGTGGTTTGGATATCAAACATTTAAATTGGTTTTTTCTGGAAATTAGAGTGAAATGTTGCTTACGTTGCATTTCTGTGCCTTCCACTTCCAGATCAGCATTTGGGAGGAAAGAAAGGTCTTTGGTTCTCGAGGGCAGATTCTTAAGGAGGAGCTTGTGGGAAGGCACCAGGAAAATAGTAATAGAAATGGGAAGCATTCAGGGTTAAAACTGGTGTGTAGCTTTAATTAAGGGGTGAATGTGTTTTTTGATTTGTTTTTGCATAATTTGAGGATTAATACCATTTTCCATCCTTTTCTTTCGGACAGAGACCTTCTGCTGGAAATGCATTAGATAAAATAGTTTCAGGTTATCAAGTTGTTTATGGTGGCCAACTTGATGAAGATGCTATGTTGAGCAAATGTAGGAATGCTATTAGCTGCGTTGAGAAAGTTGATAAGGAAATTGGGGGTGATTTTAATTTAGGTATGTATTATGTGGTGCCCCTTTACTGAGATGCAGATATAGTTCCATTAAAATTTATACTTCATTGTGGCTTTCTGTACATTGCAATCTATGTGTTTGCAATTTCAACTTCGTTATTTTATTTTTTTCTTAATGGGTTTGGACTGTGCCCTTTTCATAATTAGAACTTCCAGCGAGTGCAATATTGCTTATTTGTAATGTAATCCTTGTACAGAGAAAGCTATTGTTTTAACACATATGTGCATTATTTAAATATTTCTAAGAAAACACTTTTTATATATGCACTATTGTACACTAAATTTATAAAATGTGGAATCAACTTTGTTTATAAGTTGAAGGGAAAAACTGCAGCTATAAAACCTCACTTGTTAAATCTCCTCACTTGTTTGGTGCCTAAACGATATACTTGGGGAATGGGAACATGGTTATGGTCATCTGGTATAGATTGAATTCATGCGTTTACAGTACTATTAATTTGTTGCTTGAAGCCATGTTGAAAAATGTTGCAATGTGGCAGGAGGCTAGGGTTTTTTGGCCAGTTCAGTATTATTCTTATTTCTCTCTCTCTCTCTCTCTCGCTTAGCATCTCGCTTATGATACTTTGGTTGCTACATCCTGTAGCATCTCTCTCTCTCTCTCTCTCTAGTCTTTATTATTATTATGTTCATTTAAGCAGGAAAACTCAATGGCTCTGGCATTGTGGAGGAGCTTAAAGGGCAGCATGGTATATTGAGAGACTGTATTGAACAGTTAACGGTAGTTGAATCATCAAGAACAAATCTTGTGTCTCATCTGAGAGAGGCTCTTCGGGAGCAGGTTGGCTATCATATCTTTGAAACTATGTGTTTTGAATTTCTTTCCCCCTATCCATCTTTCTTTGTTTCTATATCTTTTGTGATGGAAAGTATCACGATTTTGTTATCAGGAATTCAAACTGGATCAAATCCGCAATCAACTTCAGGTAACTCTGTTGCCTCATGGTTTGGCTCTTTTTGTGTGGATTATAACTTGTTTTTTTTCTTCTTTGAAATTGGGTTAAGCATAGGTTATTATGTATGTTTGCATGTGTAAAAGTGAGAATATTCACGAGGTCAGTGTGAATTGGCAAAAGATCAGCCTTGGTGAAATATCACAACTCAGCATTCAATAGGTGAACTTGCTTTGCTCTTTGTGCAACCAACAACCAAACCTGGCAAGTCAAAATTTTATTCTGTTCATGGAGATATGGAAGAATGGCTCATGTCATTAGTTTGCTACATTGACATAAAAGAAGATTGTAGATTAAATGATTAGTTTGAGAGGATGAGCTGACCTAAATGGTAGGCAATGGCCCTACAAATTAATTCAGCCTGATGTTACTAACAGAGTTGTTTGATAGTGGAAATATATGTAAATAGCATCATACTTTGCCTTCAGTTATGCATCATTCAATTGCCAAACAGATAGAAATCTAATGGGAAAAAAAAAAAAAAAAAAAAATTCAAACTGCAGCCTAAAGGATAGTGCGAAATAGTTTAGAGTGGGAAATTATTCAGCAAAGCATAGCCAGACCGTAGGCTTTAGAGTAGCTGGTGTAGTCTTTTATGAGTCAAAGATAGTGCAAACTGTTGTGGAGAGAATACACAGGATTCCCACACAAATCCTTGATCCAAACACAGCCTTAGAGGCGATGAAGAAGTTGAGAAAGAGGAGAGTTGCAGAGAACATAAAAATAGAATGGTAGAGAAAGATGACTCAGATTTAGGCTTTTGCTGCAGGTAAGCCTAAGAACCCAACCTTGGTCCTCTTGCTTGGGTGTCACAATTCTATAGGTTATAAAACAAAATAATTCAAAATTAACACAAACAACCTAATTATCAAAATCAATATTATACTACAAACTTCCTAAGATTTTAAATAGTAGAATAGATTAATATAGATATAAAAAAAGAAGAAGGTAACTGACTAAAAAAGCCCCAAAGTTGGAAATAGGGATCATGGAACAATATTTCTGCTATAAGCCCCAAAGTTGAAGAGCTCAAGGATTTGTGAATAGCATGACCCTGTTAAAGTGAGTCTTACTGGGTTATGGAGTGGGCTTCTCTGTTGATCTACTTACTTGACTATCATTTGATAGTATTGCTCGGGTGGCACAGGTTATCTACCCTTTTATTCTCTGATTCTTTTCTTGTCATGGCTTATAATCCTCTTAAAAGATGTGCAACATTGTATTCAAGGTCCACATCAATATGAATACCAGATATTTTACCATTCGCTTTGAGTGAGACTTCTATACCTGGTCTAAGTATGTGTATGCTCTCCCTTCCACATGTTGTTTCAGACAGCTCAGTCCCAGTCAGAACAGGCAGGTAATATGTGCAGACAGTTACTGAACAACAATGGACAGTTATTAGCTGACCAGAACATGAAGGAAACTCATACCTCCATAGCTCCACCTAGTTTTATAACTGGAAGCAAAGAACAATCAGCTCCAGTAATGTACACTAGACAGGTACCTTTTGCTGAAAAATCTGGAGATGACACCAAAGCTGCAGCTGCTGCAGTGGCGGCAAAGCTTACTGCATCTACATCCTCAGCTCAGATGCTGACTTATGTCCTCTCTTCTCTGGCATCAGAAGGCGTCATTGGCAATCCGATGAAAGAATCTTCCGTTGATTATCCTTCTGAAAAGAGAACTAAGCTTGAGAATGACCACACCACTTACATGCCATCTCAGAATCCTCGACCACCAGTTCCACCTTATCCGCATCCCGACTCCCTGCCACACAGTAGTATTCCAATCACCACACAAGAATTGACTGCAAATGAACAACCACGTCCCCCATCATCCCCTCCGCCATTGCCTCCATTACCACCGCCTATGCAGCCATATCAATTGCCTCAGTTCATGCAGACTGCTGGATCTATTAGCTTACCATATGGCTTTGGTACAACCCAACTGCAGCCACCGCTCATGCCTGGTTATCCGAGTGTAGGGGCTCTGATGAATGGTGTTTCTTCCTTCTCAGCTCCTCCATCAAATGTGTACCAGAGTTTTCAAGGATCAGAAGGAGGTTTTTATAGCCAGGCATCATCCTTGCCAATGGCACCAATCTCGCGGCAGTAGAATTATCAGTCTTCATTGTTTGTTGAGAGGAAAGGTCTGGGATGGTAATTTTAGGACATATGAGAATAAATGAAGCTTCTTTGTGCCTTTTGATTACTGACCCATAAAAATAGATTTTGCACATGGTAAGTAAATGTTTGTATTCATATTTATAAAATGTGTTTGAAATTTAATTTAGAAGTTGAAATAATTTAATTTTGATGTTGAAATGAAGATAAGAAGTTTGATTGTGTTAATTTTGGAATAATTTTATCGATGATTATTGTGGGATTCATTCCTGGTAACATTGTGTTTGTTCGTGCAGTGTTTGCCTTACTAGTTTACATAGCATCTTTTTTTCTTCTCTTTTGGTTTTGTGTATTTTGCTTTGGTTTTGGTTGGACAGTGTTGTACTCCTCTGTTACACAAGTACAAATTATGGGCAGATCTATTGCTGGGTAAAACTGGCGTTCGCCAGGGCAAGTTTAATGCATTGAACACACGCAATGCCACTATGCTGTGTGGCAAAAGCCAGTTTTGCCATGGCTACAGCAACAGCAACAGAAACAGAAGGAGCTGGTTGCAGGATGAGGGAATTACAAAAAATTATTGAGTACCACTCACTGTGTTATCATTCATTTATATGGGTTTTAAACCAATTCTATTCAAATGAATGGTTTAGACGTGTTTATGACATGGTCATGTTAGTGTCATGGATGATGGCATTGAATAATTGCTTATTAGTGACAATAAAAATTGAGCATGGAGTATTATCATTCCGAAAGAAATTAATAGTGATGAAACGACAACTGCATGTGCGTGAGCCATGTCAATAGGGGGCTTTAAACAAATATAAGCGTGTTTGCATGCGAATGTAACATGCCTGTTTGACAGACAGTTGAATTAAGACAAATCCAAAAAATTAAAATTAAAATATGTCAAAGTGAGTACCATACCATTAAAGCAAGAAAAGCAACGGTTTCTAGTATTGAGAGAGAGAGAGAGAGAGAGAGAGAGAGAGAGAGAGAATTGTTATTTGTCATTGTTATGTAAAGTAGTGAAACAGAGGATGACGTTCCCATAGTCTTGGAGGGATTATGTGTGACTGAATTAATTACTAATTAGGAAGGCTTTGCCTAGGACCAGAATAGTATGGTATAGTAGCAACAAAACTAGTTGGAGACCAAATTGGTTAAAAAAAAAACAACCAACCAACCAACCAACCAACCAACCATTATTATGTATATATTAGGAAACTGAAAGAAATGACCACCGACCACCACCTAAACTTCTCAAGACCTCATTTATTAAAACACAAACAATAATAATGTTGGAACAACAATGTTAGGTATCATGAAAAGTCTTTCATGAAAATAATCATGAAAGATTTGTGACCTTTGGATTACACTTAGAATAAAGCACCACACACTAATCAAGGTAATCTAAGGGTCACAAATCTTTCATGATCATTTTCATGAAAAAATTTTCATGACCCCTAACATTTCTCATGTTGGAATGAATTTTTTTCTTTCATCATATTTTATCTATCATTTCAATTGAAACACATATATTAGTCGAATATTATTGAGATTTATGTGGGACTTATTGTTGTCATTAATATCAAACTGATGTATATGCATCACATTAGATGGTAAATAAATAAAAATTATTATAACATTACTCAAATACAAATATATATATATATATATATTGTACATAATGTAATGTAATAATAATAAAGGCACGCGCAGTAAATAAAGGCAGCTGAGCTAATATTAATATTTGAAGTGTGATTAAGAAATGAAAGCAGCAGCAGCAACAGCAACAGCAACAGCAAGAGCAAATTAATAATGAATAATGATGTATTAGTACTAGTGAGAAGTTTCATAACTAATTATGCTTAATCATATTTTGAGAGGGTCCTCATCCTAATAGTCAAAAAGAACTCTTGGCCATGTCCCATTATGTCCTTTAAAATGACTGTAGACATGTGATGTTTTCTTCGAATTGTGTCAACTACATTCAATTTAAAAAATAAAACTCCAACAAAAACCAAATCCAGAGACAACCCCACATTTGCTATACATTATTACAAATAATTTCAGAAACACGAGACAAGACAATGGTTAGACATAAAACCAGCCCTCATAATCCCAATACCGATACTTCCCCACCCAACCTTATTTTACATATCCACTTTCTATTTAGTTTGGTTTTTAAAAGTATTTTATTTTTTTTTAAAAAAAATTAAAATTTAATTTTGTAAAAATATTAAAAAATAAAAAATAATTATTATTTTTATATGATTTTATTTTTTTAGAAAATTAGAATTTTTTTTAATTTTAAAATATTTTTTTAATATTTATTTTTGTCAAAGTAATTTTTATTTTTCTTTTAAAAAAAAGTCAGAATAATTTTTTGAATTTAAACCCACCAGGCATATATTTATTTGTAAAACATTTTTTCCCTCTTGCAATTTATTTTCATTTAAAACTTTTTCTAATGAGTATATATATAAAGGATGTTGTTAAAAAGTGTTACTAAAATATTTTAAAAAAATAAAAATAAAATAAAATAAAATGAACAACACAAAACACTTTCTACTAAAGCTATGTTTGGTTTTAGTTTTTTGGCTAAAAAAGTACAAAAGATAAAATTGGCTACATGAGTCAATAAGACAAAATGTTACATCCAAAACATAATCATTACATTTTTTCTCTCATAAAATTTAAAAAAGCCAAATACAAAAACCAAACGAGGCTAAAAAAGCCAGGCTAAAATAGCTAAAAAATCAAAAAGTAGGCCATTTTAACTCTTCCCAAACGAAGACTAATTTTAACTTATTGAGGTATTGTTTAATATTAAAATTACATATAAAATGTCTTAAAAATGTTAAACAAAATTTGAAATAAATAAAATAGTTCATAGAAGCAACATTGGAAATGAAAAACGATCATAGAGAAAAAGCAGTCACACCACCAAAGGGCAATTCTAGTTGGTAAGAGAGTTTGTTTATCTCTTCACTGATCATGACTCTAATCTCTTACTATTCAAATGAAAGTCTGACGGTTTAGGTGGATCGACTAGTTTTTTTCAAGTTGACTTATAAGGGTCCTGCCTTGGGATTAAAAAAAAAAAAAATCATTAGAGGGAGACGGAGAAACAAAACACTGAGAACGGTCGTCCTCTTGTCCTATGTTTTTTTTATTTTATAAATTATATTATTAACGGCAATGCTAAACGAAATACTTATAAAAGGGCTTTAATTTTGAAATTGGATTTTTTATTGATAAATTTCATTTAGAAATATTCTAACCTAATAAGTCCACAAAGGAAAATTATAGCCTAATTAGTCTCACATATTTATATTTTTATTTCATGAAGTCATTTTTTCTGATTTATATTATTTGTTAGACTATTATATCCTTATGTCTATTGTTGACATGTATTACATAAAAAGATGATATACATGTTTCATTTTTGTTGCTCCCTCTATTTTGGGAAATATTCTAACCTAATAAGTCCACAAAAGGAAAATTATAGCCTATTTAGTCTCACATATTTATATTTTTATTTCATGAAGTCATTTTTTCTGATTTATATTATTTGTTAGACTATTATATCCTTATGTCTATTGTTGACATGTATTACATAAAAAGATGATATACATGTTTCATTTTTGTTGCTCCCTCTATTTTGGCAGTTACTATTATTCACGTTTTTCATTTTGATTAGTTTCATTTACATTTATAGCATTGTTTCATTGTGCTACGGTTTTGAAACTTTCTGTTTGGTAGGATTTTGAAGCTCTAATTTACACGTGGTAGTAAGAGAATATTATGTTCCTCCATTGTCACTTTATGTGCAAAACTCTGTGTTTATCCATTGTTACTCTATATTCAAAACTTTATGTTTCTCCATTGTTGTAAGTCGAAACTCTGTTTATATTCCATCAATTTTGTTACAAACATATTTTTCAAAGTGTGTTTCGTTTGATTTGGATTGGTGTAATGGTGAAATTGCATGGATTGTTAATGATAGTGATAATGATGAAGATGAGAACGTGGGTAATAATTTTTTACTTTTAGAGTAATTGAGTTTTTTTTGGATTTCTAGTTCTATTGCTGCCATTGTTTCTATTTTTTTGTCAATCAGTGTGAATGTTCATATTTCGCATTATTTGGAAGTCTGAGAAATAAGTTTTGGAATATAGATATGGACATGGCTATATATTTTGCAAGATATGAATGTTTACATATCATTGATTATTTCTCACTATACTTATTGTTTGAACAATCATTTTTTTTTGTCATTAAACAATTGGAATAGTTATTTTTTTTCTTTCAATTTTGTTTCATATTTTCATGTTATATTGTGAATGTTCACATTTATATGAATTTAGATTTTTTAAGGTTAGTTGTATTTTAATTATAAATTATGAACATTTACATTGTATTTTTGGTATGAGTTGGATTTTTTTTTTTTTCGAAAGTTGTATGTTTGTTATTTTTGTTACTATGTTTGTTGGTTGAACAATTATTTTTGTTACCATTAAACAATCGAAATAGTCAATTTTCAATTTTTTCAATTTTATTTTATATTTTCACGTTGTAGTGTGAATGTTCACATTGGTATGAGTTTATTTTTTTTAAAAAAAACCAGTTGTATATTAATTGTAAATTGTGAACCTTTATATTGTATTTTGGTATAAATTCTATTTTATTGAAAGTTAATTATATGTTTGCTGTTTTTGTTACCATGTTTATTAGTTGAACAATTATTTTTGTTGCCATTGAACAATTGAAATAGTCGATTTTCATTTTTTTCAATTTTATTTTATATTTTTACGTTGCAGTGTAAATGTTCACATTGGTATGAGTTTATTTTTTTTTTTTAAGGCTAGTTGTATGTTAATTATAAATTGTGAATATTCAAATTGTATTTTGATATGAGTTTTAGTTTTTGAAGGTTAGTTGTATATTTGTTGTTTATTGTGAATATTTATATTGTACTTTAGTATGTATTTTATTTTTTTAAAAGTTAGTTGTATGTTTGTTATTTACTGTGAAAATTCACTTTATATTTTGATTTTTATTTAGATTTTTTTGTTTTTTTTATTTTAAAATATTTCACATTATAATAAAAAATTCATAATTTGAGATTTTCTCCATAAAATGAGGGAGAGTTTTTCTGCTTAGAATTAGGGAGAGATTTTTTCCATGGAATGAGGGAAATTTTTTTTCCATAAAATGTGGAA